CTGCTCACGTGTTTGTGTTTGTACGTGTTTGTCTGATTATGTGTATGTGACTATTGGTGTTTATGTATGTATATGTGTGTGTGTGTGTGTATGTGTATGTGTCTATTGGTGTTTGTTTGTGTGTGTGTGTGTGTGTGTGTGTGTGTGTGTGTGTGCGTGTGTTCAGAAAAGAAAGTGCTAGGGAACCATTTTTCTTCTTTACCCATGTTTAAGTAATGTACCGAACATGATTTCTTTGGTCCTCCGAGATTTAGCTTTATTAAAATCCTATCAATAGCGTTAAGATTATGACATTATTTTCATATTTTTCTTTTATATATAAAAGAAGATATTTTAGCGCGCGTGCATTATATGCCGGATAATTGTCTCATTGTGTGTGTGCGTATATAATATCAGTGTGTGCGTTTGCGTGTGTGTGCGCGCACGTGTATGTATGTATGTGTGTATGTCTCGGTCTCACAGAACCTTGTGCTGTTGAAGCTAGAGAGGTGAGCAGAGTAAGTCTGATTCCCTGTAAAGACTTCTCTGTTGACACCCACCCCTTGGCGCTCATATATGACCTTATGCAGTTGCGAACGCCGTAAAACCCTCTACTAAAAAAACAAAAACAAAAACAGAACCAAACGACGAAGTATGTAGACATACACATAATTGCGATCATGTATTGTTTGCTGTGAACTTCTGGCCCCTCTGCCCTATAACTATTCCCAGAATTCTCTCTTTCCTATCAAACATCTATTCTATCGTCCTTATCTCTCTTTTTTGTGTGTGTTTGTTACTCTCTTGTAACACCTCTAATCTTCTGGCGTTCATAGATCTATGACCTTATTGTGTTGCAAGTGCCGTAAAACACTTGCTAAAAAACCCAACAGAACCGAACGACAAAGTATGTACACACACATGTAATTGCGTGTATTGTTTTGTGTATGTGTGAGTGTATGCGCGTGTGCGTGCGCGAGTGCGTGCGCGTGTGAGTGTGTGTATAAATATTTCGATCTCACTCACTCGGCCCAGAACCGAAAGACAAAATATGTTACACATGTGACCTTATTGAATAAGTTATTGTGTTGCAAGTGCCGTAAAATTCTTACTAAAGCTAAAGCACAGAAGACGAAGTATGTGCACACATGTAATTGCTATGTATTGTTTGTTGTGTATGTATGTGCGTGCGCGTGAGTGTGTGTGTGTGTGTGTGTGTGTGTGTGTGTGTGTGTGTGTGTGTGTGTGTGTGTGTGCATAAATGTCCTGATCTCATTCGAAATACGTACACACATGACCTTATTGTGTTGCAAGTGCCGTAAAACTCTTTTAAAACAACTAAAACACAGAAGACGAAGTATGTACACACACATGTAATTGCCATGTATTGTTTGATGTGAACTTCTGGCCCCTGCCCTAGACAACTATTCCCAGAACAGAATCTCTTTCTCCCCCCCC